GGGGGGGGGGGGCACATTTAGTTTCAGCTTCAGTTTGTGTATTACGCTCCTTTGATGGGTTACAATATTTATCAACAGAATGAAGCACTGCAGGCTCCGCCCATCTCACCAAGTACCTATGTTGTTAGCTCAGAAGCAACAAGCAGTGGATCAGCTGTAAAGCAGAAGTTTTGTGATGACTATTTTGGACTGTATTACTGGAAGAAAGGAGACGTAAATCCAAAAACCAGCCTGGCGAGGTGCTTAGGGAGTAGTTGAGCTACAAAACTGCTACAAAGACTTTGAGGGGATAAACAAGTGTTACATTGAAACATCATCACTCCTTCAATAAAATAATCCTGTTTTCTACCTGCAGATGCCACCCTTGCTGAATAATGTCTAATTCTGAGCTGCATTTAAAAGCCAAACCTTTTTTTCAGTTATTTTATCACCCATCCATACAGTATCAAATACCATCTGAAACTAGACGGTGAGAAAACTTGAGCTAAAAGCTGATCATATGACAAAGAGTTGAATGTCCGATGCTAAACAAGGCATGTTAGACGGTTATTTTCAATGTTATCAAGAACATTCAATTGTCTAAATGTTAACATGCTAGAGGCAATAGAAAATGTATACTACTACTTGTCAAACTACTTTGACATTTATTGTGTTGGTCTTGATGCATTTCATTGAAAGATAAGGTCAATGGAAGTTAAATATTCTATTTTTAATGTCTATACAGACAGAGGGGGTGGAACACAGAGAAAGAAACAGGACAAAAATAAGACAAGTTAAATACAACAGGCTGGATCAGTGCCGCTACAGATGGAAGATGACTGGTGACACCTAAAAAGGTGACTGGGCTGGTCACAGTAAAAATGTGAATGATGCTGTGTTTGTAGACACTTACCTCTGTATTGTGTTTTGCTGTAGCAACATGTAACGTATGAAGTGAATCAGTGATGGGCACAGTTAACCAAAAAGTTAGCTTCACTAACCACTAATACGCTAACTAAAATTTTGCTTTGCTAACGCTTAAGTGCTAACTTTTACCATCCACTGCTGTCACTGACATTGTAAGACTGTAATGTAAAAATGTTGTAAGTGACCACAACTCAACACGGTTCATAAATCACAGGTAAAGTGTCCAGTTCAGAGGTGAGTTTTCAGAAATTAACCCGGTCCATCAGAACCAAACAGGCAGAGCAGAACTCTGCTGTGCTGAAGCAGAGTGATGCATTCAATGTGTGTCGGACGTCTCCCTTGTGTCATTTACTATGAGTCAACTCATTTTAGCTATCCTCTTTATGGTTAACTGCAAAGTTGCTGTGCATCATTATTAATGTTCTCTCTGTAATAAATCTGTTTGTATTAAAGTAAAGATGTGTGAAATGTGTGAGAGAGTCACGTCCCAGATGGTGTGAGCGTTGCAAAGCATGCTGGGTAGTAATTATGTGTGCAATGTTTCTGACTGTTGACAATGTTTCTGACTGTTGACAATGTTTCTGATTGTGAAAATGGGTTTTTCATGTTATTTTCCTGTTCTGGTTTGATATTTATGTTAAAGTCTCTGTTATTGGCTGTAAACTGACACCATGAGTGAGAGACTTTTTGAAGTAGATATTGGAGAGGGAGCAGTGCGAGGGTGGTGATGTCACTGGGTGGCACTTAGATTTTTAGCTCTGCGTAGCATTGCTCTGTGTAAATCACCATCCTCCTGTATTCATTTAGGGTGGAGGACGGTCTTAAAAACACATTAGCGGACTTGAAATTTTGGATTTAAATGTAGTGGAAGCCAATTCTGCTAAAAGTTTTCACGGTTATTGAAAATGCTAATCTGCTTAACAGAAAGTTAGATCCGCTATTAGTGGATTAACGGAACCATGCCCACCACTGAAGAAAATGTAAAGGAAATGTGTAAAGGTGAATCCATACCTGGAACAACTCCGTTAGTAGCAATCGCACTCATTGATATGGCAGTCAGCATCGTCTGGAGAGGAGAAAGTCCCGCAAATACTTTAGACAGTTTCTATTTCTGTCATCACATCTGTCTGCTGACACACAAATACTCACACAGCAGCAGCATATGAAGACAATACAAAAGGCCTGCAGCACCCCAGCTGTTCCCACCACCCAGGTCAACCGCAGGAACAAAATGACCCCGAAGATGTTCTGCAGACAGGGCAGGTAAACGCCCATGAACGTCCCCATCTGTGGAGACTGAAAAAAAAAAAAAAAAAACATTTTATATCTCATGTAAACAAACATTATTAATGATCAGTTACACACAATGTACCAGGGATTGACCAACACTGGCCTTTTGTGCATTCAGACCATTAATACATGAGGCCCTAGGACTTATGAAAGAGTGACTCCATAGAAGCTTTACCTCAGAGTAAAACCTTTGAAAGATGCTTGAAGGACCCTCAGACTGTGAGATATTAGATTTGATCAGGTTTAGTAACAACTTGATGAAAGTCCTAAGATGATCTGACTTGAACCTCATAAAAAAATCTTTGGAGTGACCTGAAAATAACTATCCAGGGTCCTGATCCAATCTGACTCAGACTGACAGAAGCTGCAAAAAAGCATAGCAAAAATCCCTGCGCCCTGGTATGCAAAGCTTGTTGCATCAAATATAAAAAACTTTATGCTGGAATAGTTAAAGCACTTCTAGAGGCACAGTCCTAACCATCTGAATACTTACAAAAATGTGATATTTTAATGATTTTTATTGTGAATTTACAAAAAAATATATTTGTTTTCACTTTAGCATTATACTTAGTTTAATTTATTGTGAAAAATAAACTATAAGCTGTAATTAACAAAATTCCAAAACGTAAAGGTTTAATTACTTTTTTAAACCACTGAATATTCTTATTCATATTTTTTATTTTGCACAGTCATGAATGAAAATACCTGAATATCATAATGCATTTCTGTTATTATGTTGCTTTAATTTATAACTTTATGGTTTACAACTGATACAAAAGCTGCTTTGTTTTGTAAGTACAGTAGTCCCTCATTTATCGCAAGGGATCCGTACCCTGAAGACCCGCGCAGAGTGAAAAACCGTGAAGTAGGAATAGTAGTACAAGTAGTAGTTTATATATACACACACATATATATTTATAAATATATATATATATATATATATATATATATATATATATATATATATATATATATAAAGGTGTTTTAAACCCTTCCCACACACTTGCAATATTCTAAACAATGTTTCTAAACTCTAAAGGCTCTAAAAGATCACAGAATATCATTATTTCCCTCTCTGTGCCTCCTCTGCTCTTTGCCACCTGAAAGCGTTCTTGGCCACGCCCACTTCTCTGCTCTGCATGGAGAACAGCTGATCAGCTGCAGCAGGAAGCATGTTCTGCAGTATGGGCTGCACAAAGGAGCAGCAGGTGCAAAATGATTTAAGATAATTTATTTTAAATAAAAATTTAATGCCAATTGTGCGGCTCATCCATCAGTCAGCAAATTGTGTGTAATGTCTAATCTGATCTTGAAAAAACCACGACAGAGTGAGCCCACGATAAACAACCACAAAGTAGCGAGGGACTACTGTACTGTAAATGCTCATTTAGTTCTTTACTTAAACTGAGTAGTTCACCATGGCACTCCTGAAGGACACAGCTGAAAGAAAATCAACCAATTTGCTGTTTACAACAAAAGTTAAATTGCAGATTTTACGTTCAAAATATCCTAATAAATGCTTTGACCTTTATTTAACTAAATGTATCCAATGATTCTGTGGTGCAGCAGATTGTCTGTTCTTATGCTGAACACTGTAGAACCAGGGGAGAAGAATCAAAAGGTTTTGGTTGAACTTTCCTTGTCATTTGTTGGCAAATGTGTCAATAAGTGTTCGATCAGAGCAGGGTGAATGAGCAGTTCTTCTGAAACGCCAAAACAAACTTATCTTAGCTGCAGGCGCGTTATCAGTGAGCACTGCAGTTCATGTTGGGTTCAAATCCAAATGCACTTTGAGTTGCTGATATACTGCTTCTAAACAGGAACTCACTGACTGATGTACTCGTTACTTTTTTCTTCATGTCTTGTCACATCACAGTAATGACCGTCACAGCTTTGTAACAATGTTACCACCACTCTCATTAAAATACTCTAAATAATTTAGTTTTAATAATTATTATTATTATCATTATTATTATTAGTTTTAATAATAATTTAGTTTTTCAGGCTTGAAAGTTTGCGAACTCTATAATTTTCTATAGTTCTGCATCAGTATGATCTAAAATATCATCAGATTTTCACACAAGTCCTAAAAGTAGATAAAGAGAACCCAGTTAAACAAATGAGACAACAACATTATACTTGGTCATTTAATTATTGAGGAAAATGATCCAATATTACATATTTGTGAGTGGTAAAAGTATATGAACCTTTGCTGTCAGTACCTGGTGTGACCCCCCTGTGCAGCAATAATTGAAACTAAACATTTCTGGTAACTGTTGATCAGTCCTCACCAGCTTGGAGGAATTTTTGCCCATTCCTCCGTACAGAACAGCTTC